AAAAACATCGTTCTGAGATTTCTCTCGATTCCGATATTATAGCCATCTAAACAAATACGAGGCACGTTTAACATCGTTATCGCGGTAATTGTAACAATATCATTATCAACGCCAATGTATCTTCTGACGTGTTCATCAATTAAAATTACTATTTCGGACAAATATTCATCCAGATTCATCCAGATCGATCAGATGTACGATCCATCTACGATGTTATATTCAATATTTTGCGAGAACACCGTCATCACGATGAAAATGCGAAATCTACGAACACTAACCGTGATATCGTAACAATGCGATATTTTCGCTTATCAAAGTATTTCTTCGATAGACAATGTCGCGAAACAAATATCTTGAATGCCTGAGAAACAACGTTATCGGGGTCGTTGTAAAATGTTTCATTACCGATGCCCGTACGTTACATAATCATTAGTTCAAGCGCGAAACTGACGTCGTGTATTCTCTAGTAGCAATTATATCCCTGGAATTTACACATGAAAAGACCACGGCACGAAGAATTCCAGCTGTAGGTACTTGAGGTTGCAGGAACTTCAGCAGCGATGGACATGAGCGCCTTCGACGAAATAAGACTTTTTCCCTTTTCTTCGAAATTCTTTATACAAACAGTCCTCAAACGTATTTACCAATTTCTATCGCATCTTTTTCATTTCTAATACAATGGCATTGAAGTAAACTACTTCCGGTATCTTTAGTCTACTTTGAGGCAAAGTTTGTGGCGGCTCAAAGACTTACCTGATCGGTACCCCTGAGTCCCAAAACCGTGAATGATCACGCTAGACTTCCGCATGAACATACATTCCGCTCGCAGCTTCTTCTCGTTGCACGTCATCGTGTGAGGAAAACGTAGTGAGGAATAACGAAGCTGTGAAAGGGGCGCGCAACGAACCAACGAGACGGATAATATAATAACCAAAAAACAACTCTTTGCAGAACAAACGAACGAAGAGGTTCAAGAACGAGTGACGTGGATGTCTCTCCGGTGCCACTCATATACTCTACCAGCGCTGATCTGACGTCACGGGTATGCTTCTTATCAGGTAGAAGCGCCAACACCTGTAAGCTCGCACCTGTATGCTTGAGCTTAGCGTCGATGGGAACGCCCTGAACTGAATTTTCTTACGAAAGATATTTCTGCACCAGAGATGCTACAATCGATGTATTTACTTGTAAGATTTCTTAACGCGAATCTCTATAAATATCTTCGTGGCAACATGCAGTCAATCGTCAGTTAGGTTTTCAAAAAAAAAAAAAAAACTCCATTTTTAGATTTGGATTCAGAATTGGATTTGAGAATAGAGATTTCGTATAAAATATAGTTGATGGAATAGGATTTCTATTCAGAAGGTTAAAGAAAAGTATAAAAAAAGAGTTCCGCTTGAGCCAAAACCTTCCTTTTCTTGTGAAAGTTTCTACGAAGATATGGGAAAGATGGTAGTATTACTTTGTTTGAACTATATCATATCATTCGAAAGGAAAAGATATACTACTACTTAGAAATAGTAGTGCATCAGTCTTATAGTTCCTTATAGTTTTCTCTTTAAGAAACTTTCCTTTCATCCGATAATTGTAATTGAAAGAAAAACGATAAAGAAAAGTAAATAAAAGAATTGTTTTTATACATCTCGTTTTTCTAATTTTTAGGGAAAAGTATGAATCTTCCGATGTAGAATTGACGAACGATATCAATGACAAGAGTTGACGCGTTTACAGTGGTTTAGAGCAAACACAGGTTTTATAAAAGGGGAAAAGGAGGAAGAATAATGAGAGATAGAAACGAAACCGTTGCTTCCACGATGTCACGCGCGTTTACGTGGTGCGTTGCACCTTATCTCGTGTCCTAGTTACATCATCGCACACAGTTTTGTAGTTCTTACACAATTTCATTCGGAAGGAACTAACAAACGTCGATGATCAAATTATGATTCACCGGTGGAACCATTATACTTTAATTCATGATGTACAATCGTAATAAATTCGTTGAGTTTCGCTCCATTAAAGTTATCGAATGTTTTAGACTCTTAGAAGGCTATCGAAAGTTTTAAATTCTGATTAAACTGTAATGGTAGAACGACTACCAATGGGAGGCAGTGGTTTGCCTCTGAAAAGAAAGATCTTCTTTAATACTACTTTTCATACTTTTGTTTTCTCATGTAGCGTTCTTAAATACCTGCAGGCTTCGTGAAAAATTTTTCTAACTTGTTCGTGCATCTGCTTATAAGTCGCAAGGTCCTCAGCTTTGTCCTGTTGCACAGTGTCTAATCTAGCTTTCAACGCGAGGCATTCTTCTTGTAATAACTCCACTCTACATGGCGTTAGGAATTGTTAAATATATCTATGATTTATATATATTTATATGTTTTGTTTGTTTTTAAATGTCGCTTTTAAAGCTTACTTGAGCCGCATTTGTTCAGCATTCATTTCTTTATCACTAGCCTTCGACAATTTTGGTAATTTCGTTTTATAGCCAGTGTCAATTTTAACAATCCCTATTCTTTCTGTCTCCAATTTTCGTATCTTTAATTCCAACTTCGCCGATTTATCTTTCTCATTACGTAACGTGTTCTACATATATAATTCACCTAATTAAAAGTTCAAGCAACAGATAGAAAAAAAGCAATATAGCGTTGAAGACTCACAGAAAGAGTGTCAGCATAGTTTCTCTCTTTGTCCAGACGCCTGTTGAGGATTGTTATTAACTCCAACAGTCTCTCTCTTTCAGCTTCAGCAGCAAAAGCCAAAGTCACATATTCGTTAGGTTCGCATGTACTTCGAGCGCTATGAGGAGGACCACTGTGGTTCAAATTACTTAATAACTCTTCAGGTTGTGCAATATTTCGAGATTTAATGTCCCATAGGTTCGGGACTGTTCCATTTCTACAATAAATAACACATTTGTATAAAAATGTATTTATACTTAATTTTCTCCAAGAATAAAGTACCTCAACTTATCTATCTCGATTTCTCGTTCTTCTAATCTTCTACGCAACCGATCGATTTGAAGTTGCGCCGACTGCAAATCGTTCTTTAAGTTCGTGTACTCACGTTCGAACTTCTCTGCTCTATTTTTCATATCTATCTCGCGTTCTTCGTGTTTTATTTCGGTAGTTTTAAGCCGATTCTGTTAATTTCGTTTTCATTAACTTTAAAAGGAACGATCAATTTCAATATCGTCGTATACATACATTGAGTGTCTCGATTAAATGATTATCATGAGATCTCTTCTCATTTAATATGGCAATATTTCCTTTCGCAACATTCAACTCATGCTCCAGCACTTTTATTCTTGCCTTCGAAGCCTCTAACTTCCTCTTGTATCCCTCAACGATGACTTCCGTTTGCCGAAGTTGCTTTGCTGAATCTTCTATTTGTCGCCGCCTCTCTTTCTCAACATTTCGAAGATTTTCCAAATTTTTCCGTTCTACAGACACTAATATACAAGACATACAGCTTATAAATAAAAACCTACAACTCCGGAATTTCGTTTTAATACCGATGGATGTCTTTTGCGTTCCTTCGTATTCCGACAATCTTGATTGTAGTTCCGTTATTTTTTGCTGTAGCAGGTGAATCTGTTCAGCTCTCCCTCGCCATCCAGATTGATTCAATAAATTATTCAAATTCACATTTACACCAATTTCGCTGTACAATAACTACATTTTCAACTTTAAAAACTATGTATTGCATGCGCGCTCGCTTGCCTGTGTCCTATGTTTTTTTTATTTATGTATAAATTTTCCGATAAAAGTTTTAAAAACAATACCTTATGCAATTTATTAATCTCTTGTTTAAGACTGGCACAAATATTTTTGGATTCATAGAGCTTTATTTGAGTCTGTTGTAACTTTTCGTACAAATGTTTGATTCGATCCTCGTCTCCCTTCGGCTGACTATTCTTGGTACCTTTGTCAAGGATACCATCCTGTATCTCGATCATAATACGACGGAACGATGATGGAAGAATGTAACAGTATAAAAATGTCGTGTACGACTGAAAAATCTTTAATATAACTCACTCTTCTGAGAGGAGTCATCAGTTTTCGAATGTCTCCTTTCATGTCGCTCATTTTCTAATTCTGTTTCTTTGTTAGTTAAATGCACTTCTAGATTTTTGCACTTTGATTTAAGAACTTCAATCTCGGCTATCTGTTCTCGACATTTTCTGCTAAGCTCGATGATCTTTGCTGTTGCTACTTCGTGAGGTTTTCCTAAAATTGTTGAATGCCCCCATTCTGCAATTCCTTGCTTTTTGTGAATTTTCTCCTCCGCCTCTTCGAGTGCCCGACGCAGACAACCATTTTCAGCAATTAAATCCTGTTATTTATTTTACGATATTAATTTCACTTTATGGTGAAATCGATTTTTTTTTATATATATATATTTAATATATTCTATAAATGTCATTTTGAAAGAATGATAAATGTATAAACTGTATTTATCCTAATTACCTGTATCCGATTCCTTAAAAATAAATTTAATTCTTTTGGGAATATGATGTGATCAGGTAAAATTTCCTGTGATGTGTTAAAGATATAAGTTCCTTTTACACTTATTTTACAATTATAATTATTTTATAAAATACTCATTGCAACGAATTCAAAAATAGTACCTCTGTTAATTCTTTCGGCCATGGAATCGTTACGTCAAAATCTAGAGAATTATTTATCTCATCTTGCAACGTTTTATCTATTATTTCTGATTTAGACATTTTTTATAACTTGTCAAAATTCGTTTCTAACCTTTCTTTATTATAAATTGAAGCTACAGTTCCTCAGTTACAATATACAACATTAGAATTCCTATAAAAAAAAATAACCACATTTCTTTATATATTTACTAGATATAAATTTTGTAGTAATCTCTTTTTATGTTAACATATGAAGTTGAACTTTTGTTCCGATAAATGTATGATGATTTTATTCCGAAGTAGACGATAATTTCATGCAAGTTGGGTTAATATCATAAACAAATTAAACATGTTCTAGTAGATAAAACTTTTATCTGTATTATCCAACATGTAAGTCTTTACAATCAGTGATATTGATTACATAAAAAAACTTAATTCTAAATGTCCAAATAGGGAAATAGTGAAGATAGATTTAAACATTTATTTCAAATTACTTCTATTGATTTAACAATTATGTTTTCACCGTTCGCATATTTTGCTTTCCCTTGTTATTTGCATATTTCTGATTATATCTGTTCCTTCCACCTGCAAATTTTCCTGCCTTTTGCAGAGCATGTAATTTAAAGTTCTTTGCAACAGCTGTTTTCCTGTCAGGTCCAGAATATTGCACATTTATCCTTCTTCCATTAACAAATGAATGATTTAATGAAAGTGCTTTCTGTTAACAAATAAGTATAATAATGTGTAATTAAATATATACAGATGGTTAATTCTAATACTTAAGATAAACAAAGTATTAATTACTACATAAAATTACCTCATAATCTGTATTATTGGTCAGCTCAACATAAGCGAATCCACGTGCTGTGTTTGCATCTTTCCTAGGTATCCTAATATCGACTACTTGACTGACCTTAGTTAAGAAGTGTTTTTTAAGTTCTTCGTTAGTAATACTAAAATATAAGAATTTAATTATTAGAATATGTACATGAATATATATGTATACGCTTTGCATAAGAGAAATAGAAATATATATGTATATATATATATTTACTTATATGGCAAATTTCCTACAAAAAGGACATATCTTTTCTTCTTGCCATCTTCTTCTACATTTGCAGATTTCCCTTTTCCTTTTTGTACATTACTTTTTTTAATTTCACTGTCTTTTTCTTGTTCATTATTCTTGTTTTCACCCTTTTCTTCCTTATCACCGTCGTCGTCATCATCATCATCTTCTTCTTCTCCTTCTTCATCATCATCATCGTCATCATCCTCATCATCCTCATCACCTTCTTCTACATCAGTTCCATCATCATCTTCACTTAATTCATCATCTATCTCCATATTATCTTCATTTTCCTCATCTTCCTCATCGTCGTCATCATTTTCCTCATTTTTTTGCTTTAAAAGGGTTTTACTTTGTTTAGCATTCCTCTTTTTACCCTCTTTATTTGATTTCACATCCACTTTCTCCTGCATCGACTTTGCATTTTGCATTTGTTTTTGTTTCACAATTTCTGTCTTTTCATTCTTTCCCTTTTCTACCTTGCCTACTCCCTCCTCTACCTGTAACCTTTTTTTAAGTGCTGCTAGTTTCCTCTTAGCACTTCTTGTGAGTTCCTCTCGTTTTTCTATTAATCCAATTCTCTTTTTTATGTCTTCAACAGATAAATTAGATGGTAACAAATGTGTTTGCGATAGTCTATTTTCTTTACGTTTCTTACGGTATTCTTGTCTCAATTTCAATAGTTCCGCTGTACTTAATGTTTTCTTCTTACTATTTTGCAAACTAATTTCATTTGTATCCTTTTTCTTAGGATTTTGAACAATTCCTAAATCATTATTTTTCTTTTCATTTTTAAATTTCTTAGGTGAATTCTTAGTAATTTGCTTATTTGGTTGCCCATTTTGCACAGTTCCGTTTTCTGTTTTTTTCTTCTTAAAATCTTTATTGAGATATCCTGATGTTTCTGTTTTCTTCTCAGTTATCTCAGACACGCTCGCTGATCGTTTTTTTATATTTTTAACCATATTTGCTTTAGCCATTACTGCTCTATATGATATAAATACTGATTTGCTGTAAATGAAAAATAAAAAAATCAAGGACGCGATCATTTTTTACGAAGAAAAGAGCTAAATCTTGTCTCTGATAAATATACTGAGAACACGTTTTATCTACTTGTTATGTATAATTTCCTATTCAACATATTTCATATAGTATATATATAATTTATGTTTCAATCATTTTAATTAAAACATGATATATATACTTAATATTTTAACAAAATATGAACTTGCATGCATATATATATATGTATATATATATATGGTTAACAATATAATTGCAACTAAAACTGAAATTACTACTGCAAATCCATTTAGTTTTTACATTTACTTTAATTAATAATCAATAATTACTTCGATTAAAATAACATATAAGATACAGAGATACGTACTTTGTTAGTTTTACGAAATTAAACCAACTTACCTATCAAAACGTGGTCGTGCCTGCAACTATAGAGGTTAGCTTTAGCACGCGTCTCTCATATATCTGCTTAGAAGCGTACAGTTCCGATTTCGATTTGCAGAAATTACGCATGCGCGTTCATATTTTATTATACTTTTGTTATATATTATGATATTTGTTTCTTAAATTATTCATATTTCTTAAAAACAATATTTTTTAAAGTGCAAATAACGATATATATGTAATTAAATAGTGCGTAATTAAATTAAATAAAATCTTATATTTCACGTCACTTCCGTTATAAGAAAGGTTTGGTTTTGTTTCATATGTATATATGTATTTTTATAAATAATAGCAATTTTTATAAAGCATAAATAATTTCTTTTCAAATTATTAGCGCAACTATTAACTAGATAGTGTTTTTATATATGTATAATGTAATTAGTAATATCATTGTTAAATGTGTTTAATGTATATATATTATTTAATATTTAAACGTGGTACTTATAAAAGTACAACTGCTTTTTTTGTCTAAATATTTTATAAGCATAACAGGAAATTTCAATCTATGAATTTTAACAAACAAGACATAATTATTACATAATGCATTTATTAGGCAGTTAGCATTACAATTTTTGTACTATCTAGTTGAAAGTTGTTTCCTCATATAACAGTTTTTATGTAAACGTGTAGTTCCTATGCAAAGAATGTAAGCAGTATTACTTAAATATATGTATATCTGTCTGAAATTTAAACTCCAGTTAATATATTCATTGTAAATTAATTTAATACAACAAAATGTAATTAAATATATTTATGATCAATAATATTATTTTCTCTTGAAGCATGTATATGTATAACATGAATGGAAGACATTTAATACTTCTAAAATAATTACAACGTATGATAAACTATTTATAGATATTATAAATGCAATGTGTCTCATATATTTTTATTAAGCTTATGTTTTTGACTTGATTTAGCATATGCCACATGTACAATAACCTAAAATTTCGTTTCGTATTAAATAACCATTATAATAGTTGAATACAATGAGTTACATGTAGTTATTAAAAATTATTTACAATTACGAGGTTTGTTGTTATATTAATATCTTTATTTCTGTATTAGAAAATATAAAAGAAAGTGTAACGATTAATTAAGACTACGAAATTTTATGAATACAATTTACAATATATCAAAAACTTATAACTTGCAGTCATAATTTTATGAAATAATTTAACTCGAACGAATTTCTTCTTCTAAGAAGTGCATTTAGCGTTGTATACAAAATTTGCAGTTTTATAAAAGCAGAAAATACATTGTACAATACAATCATATAAAAAATGTTAAAGCTATCTAATAAATCCTTAACTATATAAGAAATCTGAAAAAATAAGAAAAATGGGAGAAACAGTGTATGTATGTATAAATAATACATGGTTGTTTTGTAATATGGTATATAGAATTTATAAATAAAAAGTTTGTACAGGAAAAAATATATTAATTACTTAAAATTAACTATGTTAACAAACATTTAGATTATTTTATGTGAAAATTCTTAAAAAAAATGTAATGAAATGCTGTTGAAAAAAATAATCATTCTATCATTTTATAATACCAAAAGTTTAGTAAAAATAATAGTAATACAATAATAATTGTGACACGATATCTAATACATACAAGCAAGGAAAGATTCTTTGTATTTGGAAGCGATGATATTATAAATTTACAGTAAAATATTCCGAATCTTACTTTTTAGTATTATGTGTGATTAATGTTCTATAATGTTAAAAACGATACCTGAGGTTAGTTATTTTGCATTTAAAATTTTTTATGCAATATTGAAATTCAGCTGTCATATTTGAAAATATTTTGTATGTTTCATATAACTCTAAATTATTGATACAATCGATTATTTCCATCTTTGCTCAAACCCTTAACATTTTTTGACACACATAAAATATTTATGTATTGCTCTTGCTATTCTCATTTACCAAAATGGATTAACATTAAAATGTGCTATTATTTGTCATTTTTACCAGACATTAGATATTTACATACAATAAACTAGTATGTCTAATCAGCTTTACGTGGCTTACGTTTACGAACATTTGGACTGCTTGGTTCAGTTTTGGAATCTTTATCTGCATCTTTTTCTTTTTCTTCTGTCTCTGATCCCTCTTGCTCTGATTCCTCATCTACTAAATCATCCTTAACATGTTCAACAATTTCTTCATCCCGTATACTTTTCTCTTGCATAAATCCACCTGATCCATCTTTTTGTTTCTTTTTGTTTTGAAGCATCACAGGTTTCGGTGGATATATAAAATCAATCAAGCAAACGATAAACTACAAGATATAAGTAACAGTTAGTTTCATTAGTTTTAGTTTAAATGATTCAATTTTATTATTCAAGCTTACCAATCCCAATATTGCACCTGAGACAATGGTAGCAATGGCAATAATCAAGTAACTTCCCCATGTAGGTAATCCAAAATCTTCCATAAACCTATTGTGTATTCCCTATAAGAATAATCAAATTGTTTTATAATGCATTTAAAATTTATATTAGTCCCATTAACATTTAATTTAAATCTTCACCCGCAATACTTGTGAGATTTGAAAGAATTGACCAATAACAGACATCTGAATAGATGTTGGACTTTTCCAGCCAGGAATTGGTTCAATCTTTTCCCAAGTTTTCTCAGACACAAATTCAATTAATGAATCTTTATCTCTAGGGCTCTTATACTGCCTAAATATACCATTTTTAACACTAGAGGAAATATTAAAATGTAATTAAAAATATTTAGAACTTTAAATCATATTATTCTTTTTCCAAAATAAAAAATCTTACTGATATATTGTTGGCAAAGCTGTAACCATAAACCTTCCGCTAAGTCCTGGAGAATCAGTCACATCAACTTTTCCTACATTGATATTTAAACTTTCCTTTTGTGCGGCAAGATGTTCCCAAATTGGTTCCAATGTTTTACAAGCAGGACACCATGGAGCATAGCTAAATCACAAAATAGTCTAGTTATAAATACATATATTACTTTAAAATACAAATAGGTTTCAATAAAATATTTCTTATAGCTTCCTCCTTATATTTCCAATTTGCTTCCAATAAAATTTTTCTTTTGTCTTTTATAATACTTTTATAAAACTTATAGATTTTATACAATTTCAAATAAAACATTAACATACGTATATACAAATGTTTTCAATATGACTTTCGACACGCCATCAAATTTAACGACATTGAACCAATTCAACTTACAATTCCACCATCCATTCTCCGATGAGCATACGATCCCAATTTTCTTCGGTAAGTTGTTCAGCGAAAAAGTTCTTCGACGATGTCTGAGCATTTGCATTTACGAGACCCAAAGATAAGCAACAGCATGTGATATAAAATGAAAAATTGAATTTAGTGTACGACATTTTATGTTAACTAATATCCACCGGTGATACACGCTGCCGGTCACTGGAAGAAGCACGAATTCAATCTGTTATAGTTGGTAGTTGGTAACAATAGTAACCAAGTTTCTTTTATGATGTAGAATGTAGAGAAATATTATATCAGATTTAATACCCTAGGAACGAATGATAACTATAATTAAATTTTTTAATTATAGTTTAATATAGTGGTATAATAGGAAAGATGAATAGTTGTCCTCTTGGTCCATTTAAATTTAGATTTAAAGATATATGTATAATATAACTCCATAATATTCCGTCTTTTTTTTTTTCTTTTAAGAACTGCTTTTTAATTTAATCAATTAAACATTTTGGAATAAATTCTCTAATTTATAAGATCAAATTTATGTATCTTAAAATTCTTAATATAACAAGTTCTATTAACGTTACTTAACTGGTAAACTTTTTCATGTATAACTTATATAGATTATTTGTATAAATTACAATATTCAACAAATTAATTATGCTTCTTAATAATGTTTCAAGTTATCAATTACTAAAATCGTAAATGTATCTCAATATTAATGTTCAATACGAATATGAGTATGAATAACCCTTAAGTATAATATGTATATTTATTGCATCATTCTCATACGACGTCTCTGAAAAATTTAGTGAACAAATTTTATTTGCTTGTTATTTGAAACCAGAATCTTTCAGAAATACGTAAATAAAAAGTATGTTTTAATTTTACTAAATCTCACATTTTGTTATCTTAATAAGTGTATTCCTATCGTATATTTATAAATATAATAACGAATGTAAATATCTTTTGCCTTTAATATTCAGGAACATAAATAGTTGTGTATTGTTAATGCATTTTCTTTTATCATTTTATTAATTATATTACATCTATTTGGAAAAAATATACGTTTTTATTATATAATTTATAAGCAGTTTTTTAAGAATATAAAAATTTTATAGGTGAACAATATGTCTGCTGTTTATCCAATTTTACCTAAATTGGTTGAACGAGATGGTTTTGATGATGAAGATTTAACAGATATTGATGATGAGGTATTCATTAGAGATGGAAAAAATGGCTTCAAATTAGATGATGATTTAGGAGTTAAACAGCCTTTAATGGCACCTCGCAGAAGATGTAAAAGGTCATATAATTTTGCGACATATGGATTATTAAATAGGACTGGCTTTGGTTTTATGGGATTAATAATATTATTAGGCTTAATTATATTATGCATATATGCCATAAATATAATTCCTGGACGAATGTCAATCTTGAAAAATTGGTTATCACGCGATCTTAAAGATTCATTACATGAATCTAACGAAATACCATGCACATCTCTTGCATCAAAGATTTTATGGACTAGATCATTTCCAAAATTAACATCTGAATCACCGATAAGAAGCAATGATGTTAATGGTGATGGAGTTGAAGATATTATTATTGGATTTAGTACAGGTTCTTATCTCTGAACAAGTGTATTTCAGCTTAATTTCTTAAAATAATTTTTTATGTGTTTTAGTAGTATTAAATTTTTAGTATATTTACCTTTTGATTTACAGGTCTTAGATTTATAGTTTTATGATTTTGCCAAATATTTCAGTTTTTGAGGTATATCATTTTTGTAATATATCTAGTTGTAATATTTACATTTAATTATAGTAAACAGTAACATTATTTTGATATACAGGACTGGATATGATGGACATTTCAGAATATATTTGTGCATTCTACTTTGATGGACAAGTTCCATGTTTTGGCGGAGTTCTAGCTTTAAATGGAAAAACAGGAGATACCCTTTGGGTACATTGGACGACTCATGCTATTTTCTCAGTTGATTGTGGTATAGACTTAACAAATGACAAAATTAAAGATTGTATTATATGTGGTCGAGGTGGAATACTTCATGCAGTTAATGGCTATAATGGAGCTAGTATATGGAAAACACCAGTTCGAGATTTATCAGTTTCAGAAGAATGGAAACTCTCAGATATCTATGATGCTAAATTTATTGCTGATGTTGATGGAGATGACATTGGAGATATTATTGCATCACACACTATACAATCAAGAGAAATTCATTCAAGTGAAATTCTTATGATATCAGGAATCAATGGAAATATTATACACAGTTCAGTTTTACCAGATACAGAGCAATTGTTTTTAGCACCTCAGAAATTAGTCCATCCAGATGGAGAAAATATTTTTGTCGTTGTTACTAGTAGTAAAAAACAATCGGGTGGATTGTACGTAATTTCTCAAGCGAATTTAATGTATAATAACTTGGTAAGTTCCTTAAATATTTAAAGATAACTTATAAATAGATTATTATACAATTATATGTATGTTGTAGAAACTACAAAAACTTCACCATAACACAGGAAAAGGAACTTTGCTACCTCCAATTTTGGTAGATGTAACATTAGATGGAATTGAAGATATTGTTGCTGCTATGTTTAACTCTACAATAATAGTTTATAATGGATTAACTTTTGAACCTATTTGGAATTATACAGTACCTAATTCTGAAATAATAAGTATACCGATTCCTGGTTACTATAATGATGATAATATTCCAGACTTTATGGTAAAACATCAGATAGGTTCGGGTTTTCCAACATATTACTACACAGTTGCAACAATCATAGATGGAAAAACTGGCAAATCTTTATTAGAAAAACCAATAGAAGATAGTTTAAGTAGAGAAATGTCTGGCCTATCTGTTACCGTTGAAGGATTTGGAAATGATTGGTTTTTATATTGGTCAGTTGATTGTCTAAACTATGAAGGAATTAAAGAAAATTATCAGTTCTTAAGAAGTGAAGATTTTATATCTGAATCACGCGCTGATGTTTGTAAACTACGGTTTAACTCTACTTTAATTACAAATTTATATGCTTTAAGCCAACATGTTGGACCACCTGGTATATCATTATATTTTTCTGAAGACTGGAAGTCATTAGAATATAATAATTCTATGAATGTTAGAATAGAATTACCTGAAAATACACCTTTTGTATCTGAACGATCGCCAAAAATATATGAAGATAAAAATAAAAAAGATAGTTCCAAACAAGAACAGGAAGATTCTCATGAAACTTACGAACAATACACACAACAGAAAAAATTTACTCCTATTGGTAGACAAAATAATGTTTTGAAAAATGAGAATGAATGGACTCAGAATATTATACAAACAAGTAAAGATTTTGATTTGTTATATGATGAGAATAATAAAATTAACATACAAAGAGAACAGCCAATAGATTACCAACAAGAAGATGAAGTACGAGAACAAAGAAGCGACAATAATCTCAAATTTACTAATCAATTTGATAAGAGAATAAATAATTCTATGCGAAAAAATATGCATAATGATGAAACGGACATTACAAATAGTAAGACAAATACACATGAAACCTCTCATAACTTAGACATTGAAAACAATGCAAGTGATGGAGAAACTAAAATATTAAGTAAAAGAACAATTAATTTGTTGCATTATGACGCAAATAAAACAAAAGAAACAACTGATCAAACTTTTATAGTAAGACTATTAATTTGTAATAAGATTATTAAAAATTATATTTTATAGGAAAAAAGTACAGAAAAATTTTTTTTAGGATGTAGAAACCTACACTCGTCAGATTTTTAATGTTGCACTAAAAGAAGAAGAAGAAGAAGAAGAAGAAGAAGCTGTTGCTATAAAAAAAATTCCTAAACAAAGATCATTGGAAGGTCAGAATAAGAAAAAGGATACTGGCATAGATTTAAAATTAAAATTAGAATATAAATCTGGATCAAAATTAAAAAAACAAAAAAAAAAGCGGGATATAAAAGCTAACAATCAAATGTATTCAGTACATGGTATACAAAAACAACCACCAACTGGAATATTATTACCATCTATTTTAAAAACAGAAGGAATTAGTTCTATTGATTTAGTATTCTCTACATTTTGGTTACCGTCTTCTGAGGCATCTGTAATATTAGTTCAAGAAGATTTTAATTGTATTCATTGGAAAACATTGCTTTCCGAAAAAAATTTTCAGTATAAACAAAATGATGATATTATTAAAGAATGTTTAGGTGAACGAGGTATCAATTATAAAGCAAATCTGGAAACGAGCAACAAAAAAGATTTAAAAATTTCCCTGGGTCAAATGACAATATATAGGATGAAATTAGAATGTATGTGTCCAGAAGATATGTTACCCAATCAAAGTTGCAAAAATATATCTTTGCATCAGAATTGGCCTGAATATTTAGGTTCAGATGGAAATGGATATTTTAAATCATTTTATAAAACAAATTTTTAAATAAGATAGTTATGTTTTCCATAAAGAGCATTAAATCCATTAAAATATTAATACTATTTTATATTTTATTTTTTAATAATAAATATATATTTCTTTTTTATAGGAATATATAAACTTTATCAGAAATATTAGATTTTAAACACTAACATTATAAACAGAATTCAATGAACTACAACTATATATATTATTATTTTTTTAATATATATTTATTATGTAATAAAAGAAATCATTATATATACAAGATTGTAGTACCTACAATGTGGTGCTAACATTCTAAAGATACAATGTTATTGCCTAACTGATATGTCACATAATGATATGTACGTATGTGTGTCTATAATTTATATAACTTACATATGTATAAGTTATAAGATTGTCAATTGTTGTAATATTAATTTATGTACAATATATTCTATTTCCAAGGTATTTGTAATGTTTAACATAATGATATGGAAAATAACTTATTGGTTGTTATTATGTGTAAAATACTGGTATTATATGAAACAGATATCACAACCAGTGTAGTTTTATTAAAACTTGCTAAAAATATTGTTTATTACTGATATAGTAACGGAATAAAACTCTACTATATGATTCTAAAAAGTCTGAAGCTAGGTGTTTGATCAATATCCATTTGATATAGAAGTTTTTCCTAAACAGCTAATATCAACTTCTTTTTAAAAAACAATAGTATATTTTTTATATGAACTATTTAATTAATTAAAATTAAGATACTAAAATAATTTATTTTAAAATAGAGTATGTAACTGTTTAATTCTAAAGATGCCTAGAAGACAAATATTGAACCGTAAGTTATATATTTTATAATACATATGTTATTAATTAAATTTCTATGATCTTGCTATATATTTATATATTCAGAATCTTCATATACTGCATGTACTAATAAACCAAAATTTCAAACATCCGACATGCAAAACATTTTTATGGATGTGAGTTGCTTTATGATATTATTCCTGTTTTTTCTGTTAAATAATAGTAGTACAAACTTTCATACTTATAAATTTGCAGAACATATACAAAAATGATGTGCGTATATATAAAAATGAAGTAAAAAATTTAGAGTATAGCTTGAAGGGACAATGTAACAGTGAAAAAGAAAATTGGATTGCAGAGTTTAAGCAAGTTAATATATTAAATAATGATTTAGAGTAATAAACTAATGTTATAATTTTTAATTTACAGGTAAACCATTTATATAAGTTAAAAATCAATATTTTTATACATTATGTTATAATTAAGAAATGAGTGTGAGCACATACAATTGCTTTATGTCTGATACTTATAGGATAATGGCTGGACATAATAAATTAACCAAAATTGAATACTGTAACAGTTTTAAATGTTTTTATCGACCAGTTGTACCATTTTTAGTATCAAAATCACAAAATATGAATATTCCTGTACGATTCAATCATGATATTTTAAGTAACATAGTAACAAATGCACAAGAACAATGTTATACATTTTCACCTAAATTAAAACCATTTAGAAATATAGGAACCCAAACAGATTATCGGGATAGTGACTCACAAACTGCACCTTGGGATCCACCATATAAAATTAAATCAGGTATAATATATTAGACATACTTCATATTTTCGCCTGTTGATGAATATTAAAATTACTTTCCAGGCCATTATCCTGAAGCATTATCAATAGCACATTTATCTTGGAATCATGGATTACAAATTGGAATTCATGATTTAGAAATCATTAATAGAATGAGAAGAAAAAGAGCATGGGAAGCTGTTCTTCCTCCTATGGATACACCAGCAAACATAAAAAAGCGATCAGCTATAATAAATGCATTAGAAATAGATGAATGGGCATTTAGAGAATCAGTAAATATTTCTTAATTCATAAAATATAGACTGTAATTATGTTCATCTCTAGAATAAAATGCTTAATAAATACAATTTTTTAATTTTAGGAAATTCAAGCAATAGTGGATTATAGGCTTGAATTAATGAATGAAATATCTAAAACACAAGAATATGAAAAAGAAAAAAAGATTCAAGGCCGTTTGGATAGATGGACAAATTTTTTATCTATACGTAGAGATAAAGAAATAGACTCTATTAAACACAAGCTTAGAAGAGAATTGAGAAAACTATATAAAAGACAACAACAAAAATCGCAACCTTTTAAACGTGATATTATTAAAGAACATGATGATCCATCTTCTGAATTGTATGCCCCACAAATGCGTTATGGCGAACATCCTCAAAGAAGACATGAAGTAATAGAAAAAGAGTTGTTAGGAGAAGGCTGTATCGAAAGTAAAAAGAATATGTATATTAATATTAAGTAATATTATATCTGTATATGATATTTTTTATATTATATTTTTCAATTATTTTAGATGTAACCGAAATAAATACATTGCCAAATTGGCTTCCAACATATGAAGAATTAAGTGCATTAAAGCCAAGATCTAAGTCAGCTGATTTATGTATCAGAGCAACAAGATGGACAAAAGAAAAGCTAAGTCAATTACATAGTGACCTGAAAGCAAGTAGATCAAGTACTAAGACAATAGAGGCACCACTATTATTGAAACGCAAGTATAAATTGCCATCTCTACCTTCTACACCATATAGAAAAAGCACAGAAGATATAACAAATAAACGTCTGCATCAGTTGTCTATACTTATTCAAAAAATAATTAAAGGAAGAGCCATCCAATGCATGGTAATAATTAGAAACTAAATGATATGAAATGAGACTAAATAAGATATTTCGATTAATACGATAAAAAATTTCGATAAAAAAGTGATCATGTTTTAGATGTTCGAAGGCCGCAATAGATGTAGGGAATTAATCGAAGAATTACAATCATCTTATGGATTAGAAGAACATAGTAAAAAACAACATCAAGAAGAAAAAGCGCATACATTAGAATTACAACATTTACAAAGTGAAAAATCTATGCAAGAAGATCGTTTATATGAAATTCTTAATTCTTTAGAAGGAATGACTATATCGGGAATGCTAGATTTTCTTAGCAAAGTACAATTCATTTTGAGTTGCGATTATTAAAAATAATTAAATACAATTTTTATAATATTTCTCACTCTTATTTTTAAGGAATTAATAAGATTAGAGGATGAACGTCGAATACATGCTTTTGCATTATTGGCTGAAAGAGAAAGAGCAACGAGAGAAGCAGCAGAAGCTGGAAGACGTCAATTAGAATATAATCGTCGCAGGGAATTTGACGAAATGTTTAGGCAAACTATGAAAGTTAATCAAGAATCTGTGGAAAGTTATTTAGAAGATATAATAAAGGAAGGCATTGAATGGATATCTGATGAAGCAACTAAAGTATATATTTCGGAATTGTGTGATAAAATAGACATTATATCAAAAGCTGCGCAGAACAAGTATGATGAATATTATACATTTTATAAAATATTTTTGTGACTAATATATTATATTTCCTAATGCTTTATATTTCAGTGCAACAAAATTATCAGAAGAAGAAATGGTTGCTAATATGATTTATAATTTTGTATTACCTGAAGTGGAAAGAACTGCTGTACGAAAAAATATAAGAGAAAAGCAACAAGTTTATTTGCAGAATGCACATGCTGTAATTTATGAAGAGATATTCAATTTACCACTTGTTGAAGACAAAAGTTTATTAGATAAAGAATCTGAAGAAAAACATGGCAAAAAGATTGAATCACAGAATTAAATATCTTAAAAAATTATAATAAATATTATTATTCCTTAGAATATTTTATTTTCGATCTTTTGTTATTTCATGTTATATTACATTATTTTAGTTAGAAATATGTTCAATAATATACATTACACATACGGAATTAAAATGAACACTTGTAATTCCTTCAAAAGATATTGTAATAATTATGTAGAGTAATTATCTGAAGTGTATTTTCGCATATAACCACGTATCACAACTTAATATTTACAAAACAAAAATACAATGCAGGACACTTTAATTATTTTGTATTGTTATAGATAATAAAGAAACAGTCACAATTAACAGAGAGTAAAGGCACATGAACAAATATAATTACGTACACTTAAGTAGAGCCATGATGCAAATGGATTAATATTATTATTTACACGTCATTGTAGCATTTAAAATCTGACACTTAAAAACTTGCAAGTCGAAATATGATGAGAATAAGTTGGAGTTGCAGGTCGATATTCACAATTAAAAGTCGGAGCGTTAAGGGCTAATATTTTAGTTGATAATTAATATCTACATTTTAATGATACATTTAAAATAACATATGAGTCGTATCATGCTGCGTACAATTATATATTTTAATATGTTTATTAATTGTATTTTAAATTTTTACAATAATTTAATATACAATTCGTTATATTTATACGTATATTTTTTTTGTTTAATAATATGCTTGCATCAAAATAGAGAACATCACACATTTCATTTTTCATGTGTTTGTATGTACAGTATTTTCCGCTCATAGACGCAATGTTGTTCCACCAGTTTTTGTAATTTTTTACATAGAGCAAGCGTTCGCGTCATTTTTGATCTGTGATCAGGCTATTTCCACAAACAATGAAACGTCAAAATAAAAAAAGTGACATTTTTATATCTTTTACTCCGTATTTATCTTAATAAAATGTCTCAAGTGTTTTTGGCGAAAATTATAGCTGAAAACGTGACCATATATGAATGAATTTAACATAAAATAACTATCGAATCTTTCCTTTCATTTCACTCAGATTTTCAGACTCTGTTTGTCACTCTTGTTTCTAATATAAATATGTAAGTATTTAAGAAGCGTGCAAGCCAAAATCAGATAATAGCCAGCAATATGTATCTACTTTCCTTAGTATAGTAATAGACGCGACGCGGTTCGGAGTGTGCTTCTATTAAACGAGGACTATTGTATAAATTGTACAATATTATCTAAATTAAAAAGATTTGGTTGTATGTTTATTTATTAAACACAGTATCGCTTTAAAATAACATATCATTTTTTGCATACTACATTTTTATTAAATATTTCGCTATTATATTTTCAAATAATTTTAAATTATATTGTAAAAGCAGTTGTATAGATTTGATTTAAATATGGAAGAAGCTTAAACATTTAAGTTTATTCAGTTATAACATACAAAATGCAAAATACACATAGAATAATAATTTTTTTTGATATACAACCTCATTATGTACAAATAGTAAATTAATGTGAAGTTGATGGATATGCTTCTATAGCATTACCTGCAAGAAGATCGGTCATAAATTTTTTAAATTTGACATCTTTTGCATCGTTAGATGATATTCTTTCTACAATTAATTTACGTTTCTTTGCTTGCAGTTCTTTTGTTTGCAATGTATCAGTTTCTCGTTGATTAATCATATCTATATGCTTCCTTTTGCAAGTTTCTATAGAATCAGGTTTTTGTGTTTCTTCTCTTGCACGACTTAGTTCAGCTGTTAAATCAACCATTTTTTGTTCCCACTCTTCAAGATGTTTTCTCATTTCAGCTAATTGTGTATCTTGATCATGTATTTTCTTTGCCTGCTCTTGTAATTTTAAGCTTTGTAATCTCATTTGGAAGCCTTGTCTTTTCATTCGAAGTTTCATTTTACTAATTTGACCTTTTATAGACAGAACAGATAATTTATTCTTTTTAGCACGACTATAAATTTTCTTGAAAGTCTGATTCAATCTTTCTGAACTAAAATTGTGTGGCAGTGTTACACTGTTTGAACTTGTAGTATGATGAGAAATCATTAAACTTCCACTTGGCAATTCATAAGAACCTACGTTACTAACAACTGAAGTACAAATACTGTGTTTTAGATCTGGTAAAATCTTTTCATCGAAATGTTCCATAGCCATGCTACTAATATCTCTTAACTCTTGAAGTATTTCATGAGCCCTGGGTGGAGTTTTGGAATCCCGAATTAAACGAAGAACTCGAAAAATTTCATCGATTACCTGATGCAAAAATATATATTAATTAAACATATATCAAAAGAGCTGAAATTATTAATACTCTACCTTTCCAGGAATAAAACAACACAAATTAAGATCCACATATTTTATAAAAGTCATGGATAACATAGATATTCTTGTTTCGATAGCTGTTAATATATCACAATGACGTGCCAAAGGATGACTCCTTCTTTCTGATTCTCTTCGTGGTAATTGACTTTTTACTGCACGCAAACATTGTGCGTGATATTTTTCCATCAAATTGAAACCTCGGTTTAATAACTTTTTACATATCCGATCAAATTGTTTACAAACCTGTTACAATTTTTTTAAAAACTTAGTATATAAGTCTTAGCAAACAATAACACACAAGAAGGATAAAAATAATCTTACAATTCTATATCGAGAAATATCATCGTACGAAAGGTTAGACAAAATTGTCTCTAAAACAATGTCAGGCAGGTTTATTAATTGCAACATATCACTGTTCTTGTTTTAATTAAATTCTTAACACTTTCACTCAAGTGAAATTTTAAAAATATTATTAAATTATATCTTTTTCAAGTTAATGCAATAGTAGTAAAAATGGTGCAGCTTTAACTATGGTGCATACAATTACGATTACAATGTTTTGACCGACCGATGACCTATAAACAAATATAGCTATTGCACATGTATCTGTTTATAACGTAGTTTGCTATCTACAATCTTGCAACGTAATGAATTTGCCAGTTCCCTTTCTAACTCTTATACAGTTAATGGCCGGATATAACGCACATCAGTTTTGGCTGCCATATTGTTGTGTCACGTGATGAGGGAGTAGCGAGGTGAATGCGCCGGGTCGAATTCGTGACGAAGAGTTAAAAATTTGGACATCACCGTCTACTACGAAACCAATTACAAGATGGATGTACGAAAAGTGACAGAATTATTACGAGCCACGATCGACCCAGAGCAACAGAAGCAAGCTGAGGAGCAGCTAAATCAGGTCGGTCAACTTATTGAAAACGTGCTTAAATGACCGATACTCCAACAGAAACATGTGCTCCATTCCTATCATTTTCCTTCATTATTATTCATCTTTTATATTTTCTTCATTATTATTCACCTATGTATATATGTATACATATATAATTCATTCTTCTAAAACATATTCAGGAAAATAAATTTTTTTATCTTTGTTAGCTAACAATTTCATTTTTTTTTATTAATTTTAATTTTCGAGAGGACGGCATTTAACCAAACTCATAATTATGTGGATCTAGAAATTTTTGTTATATATTCTTCCATGAAGTAACATAGATAAATTTTTTAACATTTTAAAACATTATTTTACTGTCTATCAATTTTGAGATATTTACTTATTACTTAATTATTATTACTTAAAAACATTCTTTTTCATTTACAAGATACTCCTAATTTGTTATAATTTAATACTATTATTTATTAACGTTCTTTCTCTTCATTTGTACTATTGAATGTATGCATCATAGTGTTTATATACTCTGTTGAACATTAATAAAAATGAACTATTATTTTATATTTCAAATTATAAAAGATTATATTATAGTTACATATAATGGTTTACATACAATAATAACTACACTAGACTAGATTTATAATTTAGAGGATTCCATAATGTTTTCAGATTCACAAAATTATTGGTTTTGCACCAACACTACTTCAAGTTTTAATGACTGCAGAGGAAATGTCTGTAAGACAAGCTGGTAATTAATAAGATTAATCGCTTAAAAAAAAAAGAAAAAATTAGTTAACTAATGATAACTTAATACCAATTTAGGTGTTATATATTTGAAGAATCTAATTGCAACAAATTGGGCTGACAGGGAAGATGAAAATGGGTCAGTCAAGTTTACTATTCATGAACAAGATCGTGCAATGATCCGTGATGCAATTGTTGATGCTCTTGTACATGCACCAGAACTTATTAGGTAAGTTTTTCTATCACAATCACATTTTCAATTGTAGAAAATATACAATATATATGTAACATGGTATCTTTATAAGTAATCTTAATCAATATATTCTTTTGTCGATTTAGAGTACAATTGGGTGTTTGTGTTAGTAATATAGTTAAACATGACTTTCCTGGAAGATGGACACAAATAGTGGACAAGATCACAATATATTTACAGAATTCAGATGCTTCTTGCTGGCCAGGTGTTCTCCTTGCACTCCATCAACTTGTCAAAAATTTTGAGTATGTCTTATTGGACTTTCTTGTTCAAAGAAAAAATTATTACCAAAACGTGACATATTACATATGTTTCAAATTGCAGTGATAATAGTAGAAACATTTACTGGTATATTTTTTAGATATAAGAAGGCAGAAGAAAGAGGGCCATTAAATGAAGCAATGAATCTCTTGTTTCCTATGATTTATCAATTGATATTACGACTTTTACCAGATCCTTCAGAACAATCAGTATTGCTGCAAAAGCAGATATTAAAAATATTTTTCACCCTTACACAGGTATACATTTTGCTTTTATAGATGTTAAACATATTATTCTGTATAAAAGTATATGTAATCACTTTTTTAATTTCCATTATAATTTATGATTTTTCTTTCAGTATACACTTCCTTTAGATTTGATTTCAAAAGAGGTTTTTTCTCAATGGATGGATGTGGTACGACAAGTAGCTGATAGACCTGTTCCACCTGAGACCAACAATCCAGATTTGGATGACGATGAACGAGCTGAATTGCCATGGTGGAAATGTAAGAAGTGGGCTCTTCATATTTTACGCAGAATGTTTGAAAGATATGGAAGTCCAGGAAATGTAACTCATGAGTACAAGGAGTTTTCTGGGTGGTATTTAAGAACTTTTAGTGGAGGGATACTTGAAGTCCTTTTGAAAATTTTGGACCAATATCGAAGAAAGATATATGTATCACCTAGAGTGATTCAACAATCAATTAATTATATTAATCAAGGGTAAGCAATAAATTCAAACAATAATTCTATTATGTTGCAAGCTACAGTTTGAAAATTCTCTGTTTTAATGTATAGAGTAAGCCACGCATATTCATGGAAGTTTTTGAAACCACACATGTTTGAGATAATTCGTGATGTACTCTTTCCAATACTCTCATATTCTGCAGCAGATGAAGAACTTTGGAATAATAATCCATATGAATATATTAGGGTCAAATTTGGTGAGATGATTTATTTAAAAATAAAGTGTATCCTGTTTGCGTATACTTTGTCTTTTATTATTTTATTTTAATAAATGATATAATTTATTACTTTCTAGACATTTTTGAAGACTTTGTGTCTCCAGTAACTGCAGCACAGACCTTATTATATTCTGCGTGTAAGAAACGTAAAGATATGCTCCAGGAAACTATACAATTTTGTGTGGAAGTACTAACTAGTCCAAATGCAGACCCTAGACAGAAGGATGGGGCATTGCATATGGTAATTATCTTTATGTGAAAAAGTATTTTATAAAGTAAAAAATATAAAATATTCTAAAAATCAGTTTTCTTTAGATTGGGAGTTTAGCGGATGTATTATTAAAGAAGAAAGTTTATAAGGAGCAAATGGATAAAATGTTACTACAATATGTTCTTCCAGAATTTAGTAGTCCTCATGGACATATGCGAGCGAGAGTAAGTAATCCGTATATTATTATTTATTAAAATTTATTGATTATTTGATTTGTAATCCTTTTATAATTATTACACTCCAGGCATGCTGGGTATTGCATTATTTCTCCGAAATAAAATTTAAGCAAGAACAAATATTAGTTGAGGCTGTTCGATTGACGACGAACGTTCTTCTGACGGACCAAGATCTACCTGTTAAGGTAGAAGCTGCTATTGCTTTGCAAATGCTTCTTTCTGCTCAAGAGAAAGCAAAAAAATATGTAAAACCTCTAATTAAGCCTATAACCCTTGAATTATTAGCTATTGTACGAGAAACAGAAAATGATGATTTAACAACCGTTATTCAAAAAATTGTTTATATATATCCAGACCAACTTATGCCAATCGCAGTTGAGATATGTCAACATCTTGTGAGTATTATTCCTTTATTTCTTCCCTTTACAAAATAAATTAAGATATTGAAAAAAAATCTTATTGATATTTTTTAGGCTGCGACTTTCAGCCAAGTGCTCGAAACAGATGAAGGCAGCGACGAAAAAGCTATTACTGCCATGGGATTATTAAATACAATAGAGTCTTTATTAAGTGTAATGGAAAATCGACCAGATATCATACTACGATTGCAACCAACAGTGCTTCAAGTTGTGGCTCATATCTTTGGAGAAAGTGTCATGGGTAAGGCAAATAATAATAATGAAGGCATAGATACTAAATGTAATATACACTTTATTAAAATGACTGGTAATGTATTTTTTTATTTTAGAATTCTATGAAGAATCTCTTTCATTAGTTTATGATCTTACGATAAAAACAATATCAGAAGATATGTGGAAAGTTTTAGAAATGATATATCAGTTATTCCAGAAAGATGGCTTTGAATACTTTACTGATATGATGCCTGCTCTTCATAATTATATTACAGTTGATACTCCAGCATTCTTATCAAATGAAAATCATATATTGGCTATGTTTAATATGTGCAAAGCTGTACGTTGATCATGTTTTTATAAAAATTGTAAAAGATGTTTTTAATTTATTTTGTTAAAAATTCATTTTTTATTTGTACATACTAGGTATTAACAGGGGATGCTGGAGAAGATCCAGAATGTCATGCTGCAAAATTATTGGAAGTCATAATCTTGCAGTGTAAAGATCATATTGATCAAGTAAGCTACACTCTAGATGTATATTTTAATGTGCATTTTAACCTAACTTTATTTTATAAGAATGTGACAAATTTCATATGTAATGTTATTCTTTTAGTGCATACCTTCCTTTGTACAATTGGTACTAGAACGTTTGATGCGTGAAGTTAAAACATCTGAGTTAAGAACAATGTGCTTGCAAGTAGTAATTGCAGCACTTTATTATAACCCAGCACTTTGTCTTGACACAATGGCTAGATTGCAAGGAAATTTTAGACAGTCGACAGAACCAATTGCTTCACACTTTATTAAACAATGGATTCACGATACAGATTGTTTTTTAGGGTAAATTATTTTAATTGTTCAATAGTGATTGCATTTTTGTTCTATAATTAAATATTATAAATATTAATTGATACATTTTTATAAAAACAATATTTACATTATTTAGGTTGCATGATAGAAAGCTCTGTGTTCTTGGATTGTGTACTTTAATCAGTTTGGGTCCTACAAAACCACCAGCAGTGAATGAATGCGCCCAGCAAATCATCCCATCTTTGATTCTACTTTTTGATGGACTGAAAAGAGCCTATGCAGCTAAAGCATCTGACGCCGGTGACGAAGAAAATGAGGAGGACGATAGTGATATCGATGAAGGTAGGAATTTCCATTTATCCTCCTATATCTCTTTTCATTCATTTTTATTTTCAAAAACTAATAGTGCTATCAATATGTTTATATAGAGGTTTTATCATCCGATGAAGACGAAATCGACGATGCTAGTCAAGAATATTTAGAAAAGTTGCAGGAGAAGGTGACAAGGTCATCTACACAACATGGTTTTAATTTATCAGCTTCAATTCAAGATGGACATGGTGATCACAGATCAGATGATGATGGTGATGACTCAGAATATGATGCTAATGAGGAAACTCCACTTGAATACTATGCCACACCTTTAGATTCAGATGATATGAATCAAGATGAGTACATTATTTTCAAAGGAGTAATGCAAAGTGAGTAATCACTATATTCTTATGCTTCCCACATATTTGTACCTCCTTCTATTTGTTGAATGAAGTACATACTCAAATTCTTTTTTATATACAGATATTGAAAGAACAGATACAGTTTGGTATAGAGCATTGACTGGTCATTTAACTGCAGAACAGCAAAAGGCATTACAGGAAATTATTCTTTTAGCAGATCAGCGTAAAGCAGCCTTTGAAAGTAAAAGAATCGAACAGAGCGGTGGTAAGCCTCCCTTTTATTGATATAAAATATAGGTATAATATAGGTGCTTTCGAAATGCATTGCACTAAAATAATATACATATATTTAATGTTTTCGTTTTAGGTTACGCCTTTCATTCACAGACTGTACCTACATCGTTCAATTTTGGTGGAACGCTTTTAAGCCGATAGACACCCGATCGTTTATATTCTTAGCTTAAGTAAGTAAATAAATTGTGAAGCATCCAAGTCGAGTATCCTTAACAATGCAGTACATGTTCCCACTCCGTTAAAACTGAGTTGCACACGAGTTGAATTCAACATGAAAAAAGCTCTCATTTTTGTTTTTTTCTCTCCACGTTTTTGACTTTTCATGACTATATCTCGGTACATACAACAATGGTAGCATCCTTTCGAGCGTTTGGAAATCCATTCCACGATGGAATCTGCGGAGAAGCACGCTTCTTCTCATAACATAATAGTAAAACGTAATTAATTCTCATAGTAGAAAAATGCATCTAGGATAAATAAAGATACTAATTTGTATTTTTTTATATGAAAGATATTTTTGATCATTGTTATTTCGATTTCCAGATTCCAGGGAATATGTTCTGATCTCGATTTCCAAATCACTGTGCTTCTTCGCCGAGCTCACGCCAATCCATCGTTCAGCGCGATCGAATCTTTTTTTTTGTACGAGAAAGAAAAAGATATGTATGAAACTAAAAATGGAAGGGTGAAAAGAGAGAAAGAGCGCGTGTATGTATGTGTGTGTTTGAAAGAGGAAAGCAGACGAAAAAGGAGAAAGTAGTTCGATCGCTTTTGAAGCGCTCGAAAAAGTGCCTTCAACATGCTCGACGCGGATGGGACCTAACTTAAACAAAGCAAATTGGATCGAGGCTAGGACGCTTCTCTAGTTTATAAGTTTCCTAAACAATGTACTAGAGTATAATAAATTAATGCTAATTAAAAATGAAGACTTAAAGAACTTAACAGCCTTAATTTCAATAACATTAATTGTAATAATATTTTCAAAAGAAGCATTTTTAAATTGATGCAGAATTATATCACTTTGTACATTATATTACAAGTAAAAGTCATGTACAAAGTTTATGACTTACTAAGTTTCTAATTTAAAGACATTAGTTAAGCTAAGTCCTGTTTTGTAAAAATTGTATAATGCTTTATTAACCATTTTTTATTCATTTATTTAAAGGAATAAAATAAAATTTGATAACAGTTCCGCATAGTAACATTGGTTATCATATCTGACTAGAAAAATGGAAGTTGTATAATTAGGAACAGAATTGACTAACAATTAAAATGCAAAATTTTTTCGTTAACAGCCTTATATTCCACTTTCGATCGATACATAAGTTAAGTTACGTGATTTTAAATGAAGAACTTAGCAGGATATATACATATATCCATTTATGGAAAATAATTTATATCCTGCGAAGTAACCCTCAGGGCGGAGATACATTTATAAGAGGAGCTGCGATGATTGAAATTGTAGATACATTTGCTGTTGCCTATACGCATATATATATCTATATATATAATTTATAAAAATGTATATGTATATATATATATATATATATATATATATATATATACACATACATTTTTAAAAATAAGATTAGAACAATTCCAGTTTTAGAGATACTACGAAATTTTCATTTGGGTATAGAAGATTGTAGTTAAAAATAAATTTTTAAATACAAAATAATTATACGCTTATTTTCATGTTTAATCTTGCAAAAAGCGTATCTAGCAAAGCAGTAATTTCTAATCATTAATGGACGTACTTTCAAAAACAACTTTAATAATCGTTATTAGCAATATGTTCTGTTTTCATTATATATACTAACGAATTAACAGTTGAATAAAAAGCTTGCAAGTGTAAATACAATTTCAATTCTTTGTTACATTTGAAAGAAAAAAAAGTACAGAAAGGAAAAAAAGTATCCCACAACTCCGAGAAAACAGCACATCGGTGGTATTTTTTACCGATGGTTTATTGACCAAAGGTACGAAGCACTCATGAAGACGCAAAGAGGCCCGTTAAAACGAATGAGATGGATGAGAGGAACACGTTTAGAGCATGAAGGAGTTCTACTCTCGATCTCTTTTCTCAATGTGTCCTCGGATAAAGTAAACGTTAATGTCACTTGAGACACCGTTCGAAATAAAACGCGCCAACATAGCCACCTCTCATTGCTTTTGCTACATTCTGCTCAAACGCTCTCCTATTATTTTGCAGGACCTCCGCAGCATCTTTATTCAATGGATCTTCTGGATTTGGTTCCTAAACAAATAATATCTTTTCATAAAAATTTCTTTGGTCAACTATATACAAAGATGTAACATATAACGAATTTGATATAAATTAAATAATTAAGCATTTATGTAGAAAATTCTCTACTTTGTTAAAGAAAATGTAATAATTTTATGTTATACTAAATACCAAGAAAAGATATTGTAATCCATAGACAATAGAATTAATTGTAAGGACTGGTTTCCAATCTTCTCTTAAAATATTTAGACACACATTGCCATCCAAGTCAATATTAGGATGATAAACTTGTGTTTCACATTTTACTTTAGGCGGCTCATGTGGATAATTTGGTCCAACTTTAAAGCTGAAGACAAATCGGCCACCTCTATAAAATCCCTAAAAAATTTTTAAATCATTACCAAGTTGTATATATAAAAAGAAAAATGTTCTTACCTCATCTGGACAAATAATTAGCTTAAAGCTGAGAAGGTCATCTGGATCAGGAAACTCTGTCCCACATGTTTTTGGAAGATTAAGTTCATTTATATCTACATAAAATAAAAATTTCTTAATGTACATGTTAAAGAATAGAAGAAAAAATATATTTCAATTATTCAAATTACATAAGGTTATTTAAAGGTCAAAATAGTGAACAAAATATTTTTAATCTAGGATAGTCTTAAATATTATGCAAATATTAATATTAATAACAAAAAATATAAAAACAAATCAAATCACATTATCTTATTTATTAAGGAATTTTCTTTATAATAATCTTGTGAATAATTCTTTGTTGCTTCATTGGATATAACCACATATTTCTATTATTTATTAAGTTAACTTTTTAAAGTTAAGTTAATTTAAAAATTTTTAAGTTAAAGTTAGCTTAATTTGTCGAAACGTTATAAATAATATTTTATAAACAAGTTATAACATTTTTGTTCACAAATCAACATCTTCAAGAAATACGAAAATAAATCAATTTGTAAATTCTGCATATATGTATACGCAAGGTAAATGAAAGCAAAGAACTAAATATATAATATACGCGTAATATGGTATCAATAAAAATGGACAAATATTGACTGTTACAAAATTTAAAACTAACTACAACGTTGAATCTTAACAAAACTTTTAATCAGCTTTTAATCGATACGTTTTAGTCTTTATATATTAAGTTGGATTTATAGTAACAAATACAACAGACATTGCAAAGGAGACTATGAGTAACCATCAATAAACCTTTTGTGATTCTCAGTTGTGCTGCAGATGCCTTCTTTTGGGTGCCAGCTTTCGGCGACTCGCCATCCTTTTTCGCCTGTTTTAACGAGAATAATTTGATCATGATAGAGTGGCGGTGCCCGGCGTGGAAGGCACAAAAGTCTTCTTCCTCGATCGACCACGCGCGCAGCTACGATGCACGCAACAAAACTTTTTGACAATGGAAACAACTACTGTAAATTTACGACTGGTTTCACGTGGACGGAACAGAACTCGATTCTGTTACGATCACGGTATTAAAGTACCATTTTTGATACAGTAAAGCCTGTATTTCATTTATGCATATATGCACGTGACATGTTCCAAATCAAAATTAAATAATTAGTTCTTTTCGATTAAGACAAATTTTTTGCAATTATGTTTTTGATATTTACCTATAATAATGTAGATTATGGAATATTAATAATTTATTTTATCAGTTTTGAATTAATTTAGTGCCTCATAATTTAGAGGAGCGTAGACTGAAGATTAAATGTTACATAAACTACAAAGCAATTTATGAAAATCAATTATTATTATTATTAAACGCTTATAATAAGTAAGATATATTATGATTTGAAGATGTAGAATGTCAAATGTTTATATTACGTTATCATAAGCATAAACGTATAGAAAAGTATTTCGCATGCATTTCTTGTTGTTCAAATATGATTGGAGATCACTTGTAACGATTTGAGATTCTACCAATCATAATAGTTCACATATATTGGAAACCTTTATTCGTGCAATGAAAATATCTTTCTTGGTATCGTTGAATATACGAACAATTATTTGCTGCTACAAGGGAAAATGTATAAACACTATATACCTAGATGGTTCAATGTTCGTTTCGAATTAGAGTGAGGTTTAAGACGTCAATGGCTTACATTAGTTGTGCATGTTGCTTGTAACGATCAAAAAGTAACGAGGTAGCGTTTCGCGATCCGCAAGTATTTTTTAAGTGTGACAGTAAACGACGACACGATGGCTGGGATCCGGGATGAGATTTTAGCTAACTTTCAGGTAATATATTGAATGATTAATTATTCGCCAATATTAAATACAAAATAGAATTTTAGGTTATGCTGTATGCATTAATGACATTGACAGTAGTAAAAAAAGTGTATAAATATAAAACAATATTTTCGTTTGTTTTGTCTTCGATCTGTCAAAATTTTAGCGATATTTTAAAGTATATAAAAAGATAAGCATACACATATATAGGGTGGACTGAAAATCGTAGTACAACCAAAAAGAAAATGATTCTATGAGAAAAAATACGTAAAAAATTTAGTATGAAGTTTTCTCCTCTGAGAATTTTCAAAAAAATTCTCACAATTCGTTTTATTAAAAAAAAAAAGAAAAAGAAAAAAAGAATGATTTTAAAAATTGGTCAATTTTCATATATTATTAATATTAAAACAATATTCTATGATGTTTAATTCTGTATATTGTTAAACGTTTTTTCACACTCTTTTTGATTTTGTATTATTGTATTTATAGATCATAAAAACGGATAACAAAGACTGTAAAATTACAAGTACAGAAACAAACTTTAAAAAAGAATTCTGTTGTTAATTAATTCAAAAAATATTTTCTCTATTTTATATTAATATTTATATTAATTATTTGTGAATATTATAAATAAATGTAAGCTATTCTTTTAGGCATGTACAGGAATTGATGATGTTGGTGATGCTATTAAATATTTAGAAGAATCAAATTGGGATTTATTGGTAACTTTTTGTATAAATTCATTTATGTATTATATTTAAAAATGCATTAGAACTTAAGTGATATTATATCATATCATATAGGTGGCAGTAAATCAAGCTATGCTTCATGCTACACAACAATTACCTTCTGAAGTAAGTCCAGATATAGAAATGATAGAAGAAATTGAAAGAATGCCTCAGGCACATTCATTATCATCCCAAACCAATTGTGATCCTAAAAGTAATTCCAAAGTAGAAGTAACAGAAAATTCAAAACCAGGGACAAGTAAACCTAAAAGTTGCGAAAGAGAAAGAACTCTTACATTCCATATTAACCATCTTAATAATGAATATAAAATAAATTTGTCTGAATTTTCATCATTAAGTAAGTGGTTAACACTTTATTATATTGTTTGTATACAATAATTAAAATGGGAGTTACACATACATATCTTTTCAGAGGATCTCAAACAGCTTATATGGGTACAAACAAATGTGCCACCTTGCCAACAACGTCTGTATGGGTGGAAAAAAGAGCCAAAATCAGATTATAGATCGTTACAATCATTAGATTTACCTAAAGAAAATACATTGTATATGTCTCCTGCAACAGAAGATGTTGATTTAACAACTGATATGTAAGTAAATTTTCTAAAAAATAATCTGTTTAATTCTATAAAATATTTCAATTTTATGTATAATTACACATATTTATTACTTTTGTAGAGTGAGTTTATCAAATCGAATGACTCAAACATATACTTTGAACATTAAAAATGAAATAAATAAGGAAACATATAACTTGAAATTTCCTGGAACCAATACAATTTTGGATGTAAAATCTGGCATTTATTCATTAACAGCTGTTCCAGTTCGAAATCAACAATGGAAAGGCTGGCCAAGTTCAGTAAAAAATGATAATGTTATGTTAGCTCAGAGTGGAATTTCTTATCCAGAACATGATCTATCTGTTAATGAAATCCCCATAAAAAAAGAAAGAAAGGTATAGTAATAATTAAATTGCAAATATATATAGCTTTAAAATAATACTTATGTACTTACAGGAAGTTATAGACCTAGTTGAAAGTGACAGTTCTATAGATGAAGATGATATAGAAGATGATGTTTTTGTAGATAATGTCAGATCTACAAAAACTCAACGTCTTAGTACGTACATTAAATTTTTTAAATTTAATTTTACATTATCAATAATTTATTTAATTTATTTTTAGTGCCAGAAAATGTAACAGATGAAACAATAGGTACAATGCATTTTGCAGAAGAATTTGAAAAACGGTATGGACCAGCACATCCAGAATTTTTTACTGGTACATTTAAAGATGCCGTTAAAGAATCATGTTTAAAGCCTGCGAAAGAGGTTTGTAATTGATAGAATTATTTACTTTAATTAATATTTTATATAAAATATCATTTTTTAATGTTACAGAGAAAATTGTTAGCTGTATATTTGCATCATGATAATAGTGTATTAGCAAATGTATTTTGCACACAGTTATTAAGTTGTGAAGCAGTACTCCAAGTTCTCTCAGCAAATTTCATTGTATGGGGTTGGGATATTACATTTGAATCCAATAAGCAAAAGTATATATAACAACAAAATATAATTTCTTAATAACATCAAAACTTTTTCTTGCAAAATGCTTTTAATTTACAGATTTCTCTCATCTGTAAAACAAACATTAGGATCGTTTGCAACATTAGCTATGGAAAATATAGATGTTGATACTCTACCTGCTCTTGTAATTATAATGAGAGCTAGATCAATTACAGAAATGTTTACAGTAATACATGCCAATGTCGGAGTAAATGAATTATTAACGAATTTAATTCACGTCGTTGAAGTATTTCAGGTAAGTGAAAATTAATATATGATGTTAATATAATCTCTAGCATTACATTTTTTCAAAATAGGAACAAAGACGTACCGATATTGGTGTTGAAGAAGAAAGACAAGCTAGAGAAAGAGTAAAACAGGAGCAAGATAGAGCATATCAAGAAAGTTTAGCTGCAGACAGGTACATTAAAAATATACATATAATATTTTGATAAATATATATATATATATCCAAATTGTTTTAATTTCGATATAATTCTAGAGCGAAAGAAGAAGCGAAACAAATGCAAGAAGAGCTAGAAAAACAACGAAAAGAACAAGCAGAAAATGAAAGGTTGGCTGAAGAAGCGAGAAAAGAAGCTCATAGACAAGCAGTAGAATCAAGTTTACCTCCCGAACCACAACAAAGTACTGGTGATGGAGTGCTAAAAGTACGAGTGCGGCTCCCAGCTGGGAAATTTTTGGAACGTAGATTTCAGTCTGATACACCATTACAAACGCTTCTTAATTTCCTTATTGTGGAAGGTTACCCAACAGAAGAATACAAAGTTCTATGTAGTTGGCCTCGAAGGGATGTAAGTAGATGATGTAAGCACTTGAGTTCTCACTACGTAAATGTGCTTCTCATTTTATTGAATTAAACGTGGATAAATGAGCTTTTTACATATGTGTCATTACTTTGTAATAGTGAAGTTAAAATTTATTTAATGTTATTTTTTTATTTGTTTCAGTTAACTTCTATGGATTCAAAATTAACTCTTATGGATCTAAAATTCTGTCCTCAAGAAACAGTAATTTTAGAAGAACGATAAGTAACTTGTTGTAATTAAATTAAAATGTAGAAGTTAAACATTGCAATATTCTGAAAGTGTTATTTATTTAACAAGTTTTGAATAGTTATCAGTTAGTATGAGTTCAGTTTATTGTGTAACTACATTTTTATGCTGTATTTTTTCGTACTATTCATTCGTACGACAAATGTAGTCTTATATTATAAAAAAAGGTTCTTTCCATGCATGTGCATTGTATATTTTAAATTCCTAAAAATAAATTACATTTCAAAAAACCTCAAACAAAAGTAGCCTTTTGTTTGTTGTTACCATGATTGCAAAAAGCATTAAAGATATATTAAAGGAGTTCAATTTGTAACAAATATGAATGGAATTTGTAATAAAAAGATATATTTTGAATAATATTTAATTTTTTTAAGAATTTATATTATAAATATAAAGATGCAGCAAAAACGATATCACGCTTTATAAGTTTAATTGCTTCGCTAAATTTATTCTCTAAATCCGTATTTCCAATGTTTTTTGCTGCTTGACATAACTGTCTAAGAACTTCTTCCGAACGACGCATACATCTTATGATAGAGCCTAAAATAAATTAAAATTGCATTATTCTCTAAAAATAACATGTAAAGGCTTTTGATAATCTAGTAAAAAAGAACAACAATTCTAAACATACCTTCAAATATGTCTGTCATTTTGCAAATTTGCAAAAAGGTAGCTCCTTTACACCAAGCGTATACAACGTCCATTAAATACGGCTTGAATCGTTCTACATATGCGTCTTCATCTAATTCTAAATTAGCTTCTGTAGATACCTTTGCTATCCTTCGAGCTAAATCTTGCATTTGCCTGAGTGGACCACCTAACTCTTCAGTACACT